TTTCGGTATTTTAATCGACAGATGCCCAGGAATCACTTATATGAGTTCCTACCTGGAGTTAGCAATATTTCCAATTTTCCATTTTACTTTTCTACCTTGTAAAGAGACCTGGTGCGCTAGAGGTACTGGTCCTCTTGAGCATCTCCAGGATCATGAAAGGTTCTTAAAAAAGCCAGTGATTTACAACGATTACTCGGATGAACTTATCAATGTCCACAGCGTACTATGGTACAAACAGAAGCTTGATCATTCAGCAAAAAAAAACAGGCTTTTGTCAGGCTACAATTCGGAAGAAACCAACTAACGAGCCATCGTTTTACTTCACGATATAAGTGCAAATTGAGGCTTCGTTGGTTTATTCACACCGACCCTCAGTAAAGGCTATCAGCCTTTACTGGGGCCAGTTGGCTCCATTTTGCCGTTTTCTTTCTTTTATGGTCAAATAATGATGGTTTTTAGTATTGTGATTGAAAAGATGTAAAATGAACTGCCGACAACCAACAGTGGGGTTTTGTCTGGTTAAGAATTAGAAACATTACTACATATTACAGGCCTAGTTTAACCAATGGATGCCGATTCTTTTTTGCGGGTTTCATACCACATATTGAAGAATTTAGGTTCGCTTTGCTGAGCTGCGGCTTTTTGTCGGCCTTCTCGAGATTCCACTGTGCATTTTTGGGGTGAGTCCCAACTCTTTTGATTAAAGAATTACGACACACCTGCTACACGGGTTCTGAATGAAAATCAAGGAGGAAACGTAAATAATCTTCAAGAAATTGGTAACAACACTTTCCGGCATTGAGTGGTTATTGAAAAAGGTTATGTTTACTAGACAGTCCCACTTGGGTACTGAACACAGTGGTTGCAAACTGAACACATGCCGTGTTCAATACTGCAAAGCAACGAGACCTGGACTGGCGGCAAAATCCTTTAGATCAAGTGGAACGGCAGAATACCCAACATCGAAGTCCTGCGGAGAGCGAGACTCAGTTATGCTACTTAGAACAAATGGCCGAAACTTACATTCCAAAACAAACTGTCTGCGGTCAGGTGAATAATGGAGTTCAAAATCGAGGACACTCGGAAGTCCGCTATTGGAGGGACCCTGAGATAAATTTGGAGCAGCGTAATTTTTAATGTAGGAACCGGCACTCAACCGGACGGCTGTACAAACAGGTGCGAGAAGCTTTGAGACGTGGCGCGTTGCAATGGTGCAAAACAATCGAACCATTAGGAAATGAATCTACCCACCACAACTTCAGACATGTGGACTTGCGTGGAATGCTGACGAAAGTGCCATAGCGGGCTCATCGTGTGGGTCACTAATGTATTCACCGGTTCACATTGACAAGTATAACTACCTGGAAACAAGGTAAGTTTGTTCCACTTTCTAATGACAGCCCACCCTACATTGTCATTTTGTGGATGGCAGCACCATTAGAGACAAGGTTACTTGAATACTTTCAGGTTATCCGTGACCACATTGACTGTGTGTTAACAAGTGTCTGTTAGTAACATTTGCATGGTGCTCCACTGCTATTACTCCGAAACTTAAGAGTTGACAGGTAACAGGCACCTGTGCCTAGTATAACGCCGTCGTGTTTAGGCCACATGATGGCTTACCACTCGAGTCACCTCTGATACCTTGCAGTCAGGTTTCTGAGTTCAAGGAGTGGGGCACCACTCACCCAGCTATTTAGATTTGGGCGCCATGACAGAACCATGAAAAGTACCTTCATGCCACATTGGCTAGGTCGCATACTCGCTGCACACAGCAGGGTGGATAAGCGAAAGCAGGCGACTGATAACACCTACCATCCTTCTTCAGTAGCGTTCCTGAACTCTCCACTTGTCCCACAATCACTCTTGTGTACATCCCAGCTGTAGGTATTTTAGTCAGCCACCTGTGACACGGCATTGCTCAAATCCACCAATCCGCGCCCGCTAATCAGGCTTCGTTCTGTTTTCACTACAGCTTTCAATGCGAGAAGTCATACACAGATCGGTCAACGGGTCGCTTGTGGACGAACGCTAGATAATCTGTCGGTTGATTTCTGTGGTATTTCTCAAGTTCGAAAACAGGATCGAAGAAGAGCTCTTGAGCTTACGGCACCCTCTGTGACAGAATATGAATTCTGAGTGATTCGGAAGCTGCCGCACTGCACCACGCCGGTGTCGGTATAGCCTTAAGTTCTCGGGCCGAGGGTGCACTGCTTGACTGGAAATATCTGTAAGCAGCAGCCTCTGTGCTTTCCGACCTTTTACTCCGACAACAACTTGCACTGGCCGAAATACTGAACAATTTTTGTTTATCGTGTCCATTTATGCACCAACAAACGGTAGCTCCGATTAATCGGAGACACCTACGGAGAATTTATCACCCAATTATCCACCACGAAGAACTCAGACATTGTCATAATAGAGAGAGATTCCAGTCGCACAAGGACGCCTCAGTCCATCAGAAGCAGGCCTCGGTGGTATGTTGTCTGGACGCCTAATAGTAATGGTGAAGGTCTCTTTGTGCTGACTACCAGCTGTTTCTCAGCAGTACCGGGCTTAGGCGTAGTGAGCGCCGCTGTTTCATCTGGCATCCTCTTACCACCGAACAGCCTTGGTTAAATTGACGATATCACCATCAGCTACCATTGGTGCAGTTTAGTCCTTGACTAGCAGTCGTTCTGGGATACACAAGTCGTTTCAGATCACGCTTTCGTTTGGTGTAGGTTTTCATTAAAATTGCCTAATGGACTCCAGAAACGACCACGCCATTTAGCAGTGAAGAGATTTTGTGAGCCACAAGTCTAACGTATTATGAGCGATTCCCTCGGAGGACACTGACTGTAACTGGGATGAGATAACCACGGCTATGCGCCAAGACGAGAGCTCTGTCTGTGGTGCGGACCATAGCGTAAATGTGTGCTATTGGGCCATTGTCACTTCTTGCTGCGCTCCAACCCTTCTGGTTCTGCAAGACGATCCACCAAACATAACCAACCCATGTGGACAGAGATGCTCGGTGGGAGCAGAAAGCTCAGTAAAATAGAGGAGATCAGTGCGGCTGAGAATGCATGGAAATCGCTCCTTAAGTTAATCGAAGGTAACGTTGGAGATCTAAAATCAATTTTGTCGTCTGAGTCATCGTGGAGGGCACACTCCAAGCGATCGTGGATCTAGGTATCGAAACCACTTGTGAGGCGGGAGTGATAAATTCGGATTACACAGAAGACAGCTTTGTTTCTTGATGATTAGTTGTCCATGAAAGGAATTTTACTCAGAATACCAGAAGTGATCCCTTGCTTTGGCATGCGTTTTACACCTTCAAAGTGTAAAGCCTGTTTAAAGATTTTCCATCCTCTTGTAATTCGCTGAAACTTCAGAATGAAGAGTTTGAGTTCGTTGCTTCGTTCGCGCATTTTGGCAGCTGAATAAGCTGTGAATGTATTGCAACAGGGGAAGATAATACGTGGATGATCAGAAAGCGAGCAGCGTCTGACAACTCGGATTTTGTTGAAGCTACAACACCATGTACACAAAGAAACTGCAAGAACCGTCTTACTCCGGGGTCGCCCATCTAATCCGATAACCTTAGGCATCTTCAATTGTTCAACCACTGGTCTCTGTAGCACGCCAACAGTAAGCTGATTGCAGCGAGTGCGCGACAAAGTGATGTGTAAGCGACCACTTGGTTACGAAACTGATTCATTAGAGCAGATTTAACTTACCAGGTTGAGGCATGTACTACACGTACCCAACCACTGAAAACCGACGAAAGCGTTGTTTTGTTCTTAGCGATTCCCGACGAACGTCCGTGTTGGACAGGCGGCTACCGTCATACTTATTGTCGTGGGATTTTTGCGCCTTCCTGCCTGGGGCCTACGTGATCTCGCTTGCAGGTGGTTAGAAAAGGATGCAGTTAAACCAATGCAACTGATCTGTGGCGCGCATGACGTTGCTTCCTAGCCGGACTGTCTAAGTAAAGCCCACCTGTCGTTGTGCGTTGGGTTAGGTGGCATGATGTTCACAAAGGACGCTGGGTTAGTCCTGTTAATAGAGCCTTATTCCAACACGATGCACAGATGTTCATTTTGATGTTGTTCACGGTTGTAGGCACCTTACTCGTGATCATTGTCCTTAAGGATATAGGGCATACTCACACAAGGTCCCCACTCTTCCGGTTTCTTTCCACTCTTTATACGGCTCTCCTCCTTCACGGCTGTAAGGCAGTTAAGCACCAGTTAAAACTGCTCGTGCATTGCTGTCAATGATGGCTTGGACAGCTTTCATATGCATCCGCGAAACACAATTCTGAGGTCTAGCAGGACCGAGATGCTGGTCACTAATGAAGCTATTAGTGAAGAAATTCATCTGTGTGAACCTTGTGTTCAAAATCGATTCGCACAGGTGTTACTGTCACGTGATGGAACCACGTACCTCCTCCTGCACTTTTTAGCCGATCACGAACTAACCTTTGATAAATGGGTTTAATTCCAATCGAGACTCTGCTACGCACAGATTTTATTATCTCTTAGTTGGTCAGCGATCTCAATGGGAAAAGGGTTTCTAGCACGAACAAATTTGTCGTGAGAAATTGTACGAGGGCAACTATCGCCTGGAACGGGAAAATTCTACCCTAACCATTTTCACGCATAACGTTTTAGTAGAAAGTAGGAATGTTGGGCGGCAACAGAGATTGCTTTGATCTAGCCTCATGTAAACAACCAATGGTTGTTTAGGCGAGGATACAAATGTACGACAAGACAAGAACAACTTCTCAAGGGTACGATAGCTTCAGTCAGGCTCCAACAAATCTAAATTAAAACGGATCAAACCTGTATGAAAACATTAGGTACCGCGATATTTTAGTGCGGCCGTATGGTCCTCATAGGTCAGTGGTAACCTCTTTAAAACACTACTCTACAAAACTGGTTTACGGAGAATAGATTTTATTACGCATTGTTCAGTTGGCGAAAACCGGCAAAAACCGATTTGTATAAAGTGGTGACTAAACATCTATCTAAGAGTCCGAATAAGTTGGTAAGAACAGTGGGATAGTGTGGTACTCCAAAGTGTATTTTCAATAGAAGATAGAAGAGAAAGTAAAGACTAGTCAGAAATGCATCTAGGGCTGTCATGGCGCGAGTGATTGTTGCGATGAACAGATATCTAGAAATCAGTAAATTCCGGGCTGAATAAAAGGGGCGGAGGGAAAAACAGAGAATATTAGCATTGCAAGTCAGAAGCTGTCAGCATCAGTTGCACAGTGAAAAAGGAATATTTAAAACAAAAGGCAATTAACTGAACAACGTCCAATGGTAATCAGAACGGTTGTCCGGTGGGACACAGGGGTACAGCACAGAACCACATTGACGTCCAAATCTTGTCATACTGCTTTCAGTCCTATATTGGTGTATGAATTGAGAACACTAAAGGCATAGACGATCCAACTGATGGGAAAACTGTTGCACAGTTAAATCTAGATGTGGTGATAACCCCTACATTGATTTTAAGATCCAAGCAGCTTACGCACATACAGGAAGATGGCAACAGCCGAGTTATGCACATTTTACGTCCGGTTAGTACCGGGAAGCAGGAATAAGTGGAAGCAAGAATTGGGTATTCCATTGATAACCGATTCTATAAGTGGATCGAAAAGCCATAGGGAAACGCATTAGAGGCAGGAAAGGAGAGCTGGAACGGCAAGGTGTTCTAGGAGGGAACAGTGGAAAAATATTTAGTGATCTACGGATGCAAATGTTCAGAGGTGATGAATAAGCAATACACATAGCACCAAGGCCGCAGAGAACAGGTGGTTTTCAGTGTATAACTCCAACTCGAAGAGAAAAGAAATGTATCTGCATTACCTAACCGAAATCGAGAGAAAGTAGCGCAAGACAGATCGGGACGTGTTTAGAACGGAACTTAATAGAATTTGGCAGTCAGTAGACGATTCAATAGATAGTTCAGTAGTAATAAGGCTAGAGAGGAGCGGACGAAACAGAAGGGTGGCCAGCAGATAGCTTAACCCGATGAGCACGTGTAAAATCATGCCACTCATGAGTAGACAGAATAATAGAAAAATAACCATTAACCATGTCGGCTAGCTGCGGAGTCGCCACTAAATATCGTTACGTGTCAAGAACCATGGAATTCGTACGCCTACCAACGTCTGTTCGAAAACTGCGCTACAGAACTCACATCAATTTCGGTTCTTCCGTTCTTCCGCCTAATCCCATCCACCAGTTCCGTGTCCTCTTGAAAACTAACATACTGTCCCTATCTTCAAGCGATCACTTTCTGAGACATGCCCACTTCCATCACTCCTGTGTTAACTTACTATGTGCTGTACAAACTAATGCATTCGACTAGTGCATAATCTTGAAAGCAGCGCCCTCCCCAGCGAAAACAATATGGATTCAGCAGCCACCTTTTTACCGGTGACATGGCTTCTGTTTCTCACGCCCAGACTAAAGTAAACGAGTTCCCCTGGACGCATCGAGTGCTTTCCGTGGAGAACAGTAAGAAGGGTCTTCCGGTAAACTACTTATGTGTGGCCTACACACTATTTTGATCCATTGGAATAGGAGCTTTTCAATGAACCCGTTTCTACGAGTTGGTTGTAACGGTCGTTTCACGAATCCGGTGTAAACGCAGGATTTTCGTCAGGCTTCCGGTAAACTACACATCCTCTAAGATAACAGAACTTACTTTAATCCGCCTATGGCTATGCATACAGAGCTACTCTCCACACATCTACTTGTTACCGCTCCCATCACGAAGAAACTGAACTTTACCGTGTGACCGTTTGTATGCCCGCGTGACCTATGCGTACGACGCTCGTAGTCTCTGATACCAGATCCGCTAATAATTAGAGGCCTGATCAACACAGTATACGTTTGGGGTTGGGACATCTGTTGGTAACTCGTTCCTTCAAAGGTAATGCGCCCGCATTTCCCACGAAACACCGCTGCCTTATGGTTAGGCTTTTTAGTCAGAGGCTACGGTCAAGGACACTAATCGTCCTCCTGCCTAGATCTGAATAACTCTCTCGCGGCATCCCAGCCCATATGCAACCATGGATCTTACAACTAAAAATACTGTCATGCAACATCGGCCAGATTACCTCACTTGCTGCATATAACAGGGCAGTAGACTACTGCTGACGACTTCCTTCCTTCTCTTTCATATATCTTCTCTTCGTCCGCTCCCACATTTACAGCTATGAAGCCTCACTGATCCTATGCTATCGATTGTGTTGATCTTACAAATATGTGTCATCTCAGTTGCATGAAGACCATATGTAGATCTTCGGAAAGCTGAACACCGACATCTCCAACGTTCGTGATCGGAGTTCCTCAGACGCAGTCACATTCAATATTTCCAAATTCCTACATGCTTCCTTTTATCTTTACCGATTCACCTCCAATCAAGATTGATTCATTGACATTGCCCCAGTTCCACAGTCCCTCAGCTGTTCTGACCCTAGTTTTTTTTTATTTTGTGACAATCCTTCCTGGTAGTCTTATGTCAAGCTAGTTGCAACGCTGGCCTCTATAGAAGCTAGATTTCCGTTCACAATATTTATGGACGTACCCGGAGATGCCCAGTAGTGGATTGTATTTACCCCATTGTTAATACAATTTTAGTTTGATTTAGGAAACCCACTTCCCCATCCCAAGCTTCAACTTTTATCGACAATAGCTTCAGCCGAAAACTGACCACATGACTTACTGGTCGTGTACTAATCTTGCGGTTGTTGTAGTTACCTATGTGTACCGGACATATGAAGTGACCGATAATTAGAGACGGTTCCAAAACTTCGGCGTAGATCACTATGAGCCTGTGAATACGGCGTAGGTTGCATCCGAATACCCAAAGCCAACAGAAACAGCGGAGGTCTTACTATAACTCATCAGTTTGTTCGTCCGCAATAGTTCACAGACAGTTGATGAAAGCTAGATAAGGATGACAAACTGGTTCAACTTTCATCCATAAAAGAGTGTGCGGGGAACGGTCATCAGGTAGTGAGCATATAACAAAGGGTGTTGTTAACAATTTACATGTACTGATCCGCTAGATGCGACCGTGTAATATCGTTGGCTTGACCTTATCTGTCAGTGGTCTATACAGCGAGTTTATCGTCTCTTACATGTTGAAGAAATCGAAGAGTCAGAAAACGGCGTTTATAAGAGGGACATTAAACGAGGGTGCATATGTGTCGGCTGTCGTTATGCATACATTGCCAATTTATGATTTACCCATTTAGGAGTTGTACAGCAGAAAATACTCTCCTGGTAATGGATGCCTACCTTAGGGTGCGCACCAGGCCTCTGTATTCTGAGTGATAATCCGGAATAGTAGACCCGGCATGCTGTGACAGAAAAAGATATTCAGTTGCTTTAAAAATGGGCCAGGGCACTAAGTATGCCCTCACTTTGAAAAATAAGCTCACATGTCGTTCACCGTTTGTTAGCAGCTATCTCCATAAGATCGTTCACCGAATATGTTCGTGATTTCGTTTTTATTTCTTCCCTATTAGAGGCAATCAGAATACAAGCCAAGTTGTACGCTGCTGTGGGATGCCCATCAGCTTGCACGGCCCGTCGATACGATAGTTCGGCTTTGCGCAGACAGGATGACCTAGCTTTGGTATCACCTCCGATATGTTCCAGAGATCTGCGCTGATACCAAACTCCAAGGTTGAATAATGCTGGAGAGTAGTCCAAACGACTTAAGATCTTCCATAAAATGGGGGGCGAAGGATCGGAGAGAGCGCTTGAGTCTGAAGAGGCTGAATGTGCCTGAAGAGTAAGAGATTTAGACTTCAAATTATGATGAACGGTAGGGAGATCTTGGCAGCATATACAGATAAACTAGCGATAGAGTTCCAGGTCATGAAAAAAGATAGCAGTTCAGCTGTAACACCCTTTCGGTGCCTAGCTGCCATGTCACCCGAAGGAAGCACGAGGGCTGGGATACTGGCAGATCGCCCATGTCTGGACAAGGGAAGTCGAGAGGCAGACGTCGGGTTCGAACCGCGGACCTTGCGTTCAGTAAATTCGCGCTCTAACCACTGAGCCATCTCGCTCCAGGTTATAACGGCGGTTCAACTCAGTTTTGAGGAATGACAGCAGATGAAGGACGAACACGGCTGATAAAGTGAACCAGCTATGCTGTGATGAAAATGTAGTGTCAGTTCTAGAAGCCCAAAATATTTCATGCCTGTTGGTCCCAGAAAGTGGGAAACGTACAGATATTCAAGTTGCATAAGAACAAAACTGGTTTCTGCCCTGTATCATTTAATAACGCGAAGATCGGTAATTGGTCATCTGGCTGTTAGTCCGTTCGACGAGCTTGACAATTGACTCGTAAATGTTTCGTCACCGTTACAGACATCACAACAAAAAGTACACGGATGTTTCCTCGAATGGTGACGAAACGTCTGCAACTCATTTGCCAAGCCCAGCGGACAGATCGACAGCTACTCGATCAATTACCAATGAATGAATCTGAGCTACCAATATTCCAAAACATATCCATCATTGGGATTGTCCACTTTTATAATACCAGTTGACTTCAAATATGGATAACTCTTAGCACAATCATCGAAAAAGGTAAATGATAGCAAGATAAGATGTCTATGAAAAGCAGACCGCGATAGTTCATTGGTTAAAGCGTGAAATTACTAACGAGGAAGTCCAACCTCACCACTTCGACTGCTCCCGTCTAGGCTTGGGCAACCTATCAGTATCCCAGCTCTGACGCTTCCCTCGGGTGGCACGGCAGCTAGGCATTGTGTGGGTTGCAGCTAGACTATTATCATTCCTATCTACGAAAAGACATTAACAAAACTGTGTTTGAGATCGCCATCCGTATGATCAATTTCGGGGTTCTGGTAGTAGCAGGCTTGAAAACGCGATGATGCGAAATTGTTTTTAGTCTCTGAGATGTTTTAGTTTCTTCCTGTGGGAGGTTGTCACTTTTGGGGCCAACACCACTTGGTTGTTCACAGGTGCGCAAGCAAAAAGATAAGTTTTTAGGTAGGGAGAGTTGGAAAAACCGTAGGACCATAATATGTGCCTTGTACCTATGGAGGATGAGGATTCATCCAGCTATATACTGTAAACTGGTGTCTATATTTGGATCGAAAAGACGTAAAGTTGACCGAAGCAAAACCTATCGTGGGAGTATGCAAACAATAGATACCAGAATGGCATCCGGACTTGGCAACTTCGTTTAAAATGTAATGTCCCCGAGCTTGAATTTATATCCTAGAATGTAGATTGATGCGCATGAACCAGACGTTTATGTTCAAGGTCAGCCGTCTGGAGTTCCGCTCCAGAGTGGAAATGTTCGTCGTGGTGACAACGGAACACATCCTTTATATTTGAGGGGGAAAAACCCAACATTTTACTGCTCTATGACAGTGTCATTCAGGGAGAGGGTTTTTTGATAACTCTGTTTGACCATCGTAGCCGTACCTGTAACTAGTCTTAAAAAACCTGGGCAACACTAAACGGCTGATTTGTACTGGCGTGCTTGAACTGGTGCACAATGTTGCCGAGCCGTGTTCTCGGTGGGTAGTGGGTCAGCTGTCTGAGAATAAACTGGATGACGCTGTTGTGCCACTGTTTACTGGTGATATACTTCATTAAATTTGACGGTGAAACAACAAAATTATGAGACGGATGACATTCAAGTCGCAAAGTTAGTGTAGGGAGCATTTCGGATCAAGCGTTTGGGCTCCACTTGGTCAAAAGCGTCACCAAACTCAGAAAACTAGTGAATACCGCCACCCAGGATCCGTGTCCAAGGTTTCGCAATGTTGGTTGCGAATGCTTATGCAGTGGCGAATTTGTGCCGAGTGTCCTTGAGTAAGCAGTTTATGAAAACTTAGAGATGGGAAGCTGAGGCGTGTGCGACTCCGGAAGAACCTACCTCCTTATTCAAATGATGTAGAACGGAGGAGAATTTTTCGGCCAATACTGATAACTCCGAGAACTCAGTGGGCACTGATTCCGTTTGAACAGATTCATCTTTCCAGTAAGTGTTCGAGGCACCCAAACCCTTGAAAGTGGTCTTCTGCAATGCCGCCGTACCACACCATTCGTGGCGGGAAGCTAAGACGTTTCCTGCCTACTCGTATTCATAAGGGCGATATATGGACTAACGTACTTGGTGACGGCTGCCAAGGAACAGACCGCTATGCGCATTTTTGGGAAATACAGATGGTTGAGGTTCCCTACTGTCCGGTAGAGGAGACTGGTGTGTCGGTGACAAGGAGTAATAAAGTGAACCACCCAAATTGAGGGCCACTAAACTTTCCAATCCTGATGATTCGAATAAGCGATAATGGTGTCAAACTGAAAATACCAATGAGCTTAGTTGGTAGCATGTTTCAAAGGGTGTTCTTGAAGATCTGGAAATGCAGCGCAAATGCAAACAAGCCGGTAAACAGCATCAGACCTATAAAAAGGAAACAGAAAACGTTACTTTCGATAGCTCAGTGCAAAAGAAGTTTTTATTAGTGGACAGAAGGTAGAGCATGCAAGCGAAATGTCCTAGAGCTGTTGAGCGTCGTAAGGCGATGAGATAAACAAAAAATTCAACTGCTAACAAGCGTAGGTGTTTCCATTATATGGTTTGGATTGTTTCCTACCGGGTTTACGGATGAGCAGAGATGAGCTCGACCATGGTAATTTGTTATATCTGCTGACTCGCCCATCTGTTGTATCTGCTGCTGACCCCGATCCAGTGCCTAGTGCCGGAAAAAACTCACAAAATGGAACACAACAGCCATAATCCGAACAGGCGAGTGAGTGCGAGTGCCAGTGCAAAAATTACAACGGCCCCGCGCTATTTAAAAGGCGCTTCTGACATTGATCCATTCTCTCTGATAGGTGTTTGGTGAACACCCATCAACATCAATCGTGCTTCCATGAAATACCTGAATGCTGACCACATTTGGTCATGTTTCTGTGGCGTGCCTGAACATTCGTCGACTTTTGCTAAATTGATTGAATGATTGACTGGCCTGGATGCTTGCCGGCTCTCCTATTGAGATTTTAGTGGAGTCTTAGGGTCTCAGCAAGTTCCGGGCGCTCTGGACGTCAGGGCGTCCTGATATAAGTCAAACACGTGGGCAAATAATCGGGTGGATAGTGAGAGCCTCAGCGAGGGTGAGATAGCTCGGTGGTTAGATCGCGAGTTTACTGAACGGAGGGTTTGTCATTCGAACCCGATCTCTGCCTCTCGACTTCCTTTGTCTAGACTTGGGTGTAATGAAAGTTACGCTTTACTGCTGTTTCCATTAATTCACTTTCACTTGTCATTTCAGCCTATACTGCGCTTATATGTTGAATAAAGCCTATCCTTAGGCGAAGTCTTCTCATTCTACTCAACGGATCAATAATCGATTAACTAAGTCATCGACTCCCACTACAATTTATTCAACATATTATTTCTCATCGATGGAACGCTTTGCTCAACCAGCCAGATTTGACGCGGATCCATACGCTCCTGATGCAACCGACCAATGGACTCACTGGTATCGTACATTCTCCCATTTTTTATCCTGTACTGAGACGCATAATCCGGACAAACTGGAACTTTTGATCAATTATCTTTCTCCTTCTGTCTATAAATCCGTTTCTGAGTGCACCACTTTCAAAGAAGCTGTCGATACTCTTTGTTCAATCTATGCCCCCACCAAAAGCGAAATTTTCGCTCGACACGTTCTTCACACATGCAAACAAGACAATGAGCAAACACTCGATCGGTATGTGCAAAAGTTACGGACGTTAGCTGTTGATTGTAATCATCAAAGTGTGATAGGCGAAGTACGTCGTGACGAAGCATTTTTATCGGTCATTCAGTCTACTCAAATCCGCCAGAGGTTGTTGGAGCACCACACGTTGACGCTACGTGGAACCGTAGAAAAATCTAAAGGATTAGAATCGGCATACAAACAGGCATTGTCGTATCAAGTACCCATCTCATCCAACCCTTGCAACGCTGCTCCACAAAGTGGCTTAATTCAAGATACAGCCCAGTCAGAGGATACAATCCTGGTTTCTGCGGTAACTAATAAATGTTTCTTTTGTGGCTATAGCCGACATCCGCGAACAGCCTGTCCCGCCAGAGATGCCATATGCAAGCTGTGTGGTAAAAAGGGTCACTTTCAGTCAGTTTGTCGTTCCAAACAGAAAATCAAGCCACAGACGGCGACTACTCAATCTTTGTTGTCGGCGCTTACTGTTGCGTCTGCTCCCGTATGCCTACAACGAGCGATTAGCCATGTTCATGTTAACGGTGTCCGTCTCCAAGCCCTAGTCGATACTGGTAGTTCTGAGAGTTATATCTCAGCATCAGTCGTCAATAAGTATAGCTGGCGAGTACTTGAATCAAGAAGCAAAATCTCTATGGCTAACACATCTTTTGTGAGTGATACCCTTGGACATTGTCTGGTGCACCTACAGCTAAAAGACTTCGATTACAAAAATGTCAGGCTATCCGTTCTGCCGCATCTATGTGCTGATGTGTTGCTCGGTCACGACTTCCTCAACCTGCACGAGGGATTAGAAATACCATTCGGCGGTTCCCGACCACCTGTTTCCCTTTGCAATTTGACAGCTGCTAAGGTTCCTGAACCGACTTTGTTCCAGAATCTATCACCAATGTGTAAACCTGTCGCGACAAAAACCAGACGTCAGTCTTTTCCTGATCAACTTTTTATTCGCAAGGAAATAAATACCCTGTTGCGTGATGGAGTTATAGAGCCATCAACGTCACCATGGCGCGCTCAAGTCTTGGTCACAACCAACGAGCGTCACAAGAAACGAATGGTGGTTGATTATAGTCAAACAATTAACCGTTATACGTATCTGGACGCGTATCCACTCCCACGCATCGATGAAATGATAGAAAAGATCGCTTGTTATGAATTATACAGCACACTCGACCTACGCAGTGCCTATCATCAAATTCCTATCCGCGCCGACGAACGTAAATATACTGCTTTCGAGGCTGATGGCAATTTGTACCAATTTTGTCGGATACCCTTCGGTGTGACGAACGGCGTTGCTTGTTTCCAACGCACAATTAATGAAATCATTGCCAAAGAGAAACTGGCTGACACTTTTGCATATATAGACAATGTCACTATATGTGGTAAGTCTATGGAAGAACATGATGCTAATTTAGCCAAGTTCAAAGAAGTGGCGCGGCGTTTCGGACTCATTTTCAATGAAGCAAAGAGTACAATCTGTACAAGAACTGTACGGTTGTTAGGTTATGAAGTATCTAAAGGTACTATCAAACCAGACCCCGATAGATTGCAACCACTCCGCAATCTTCCGCTACCCAGTAACCAAAAATCCCAACAGCGAGCGATCGGGTTGTTTTCATACTATTCGCACTGGATATCACATTTTTCTGATAAAATTTATCCACTCGTGCACAACCAAATATTTCCTCTACCTGAATCGGTGAAAACGGCGTTTCATGTACTGAAATCGGAACTGGCTAACGCCCTGGTTGTTTCTATCGACTACACACAACCGTTGGTAGTCGAGACAGATGCGTCTGATGTGGCAATCGCAGCCACCCTAAATCAAAACGGAAGACCAGTGGCCTTTTTCTCCAGAACACTGTCTCCATCTGAGCAACGCCATTCCGCTGTTGAAAAGGAGGCGTATGCAGTAGTTGAATCTATACGAAAATGGCGACATTACCTCATTGGTAATCACTTCAAGTTGATAACGGATCAACGATCTGTTGCCTTTATGTATGATACTAACCATAAAGGTAAAGTTAAAAATGATAAGGTACTACGGTGGCGCATCGAACTTTCTCCCTTCAGTTATGATGTCGTTTATCGTCCGGGCAAAGAGAATCAAGCTGCCGACGCACTATCCCGCCAGTTTTGTAGCTCCGTGTCTAATTCTTCCGAACTGCTGACCATACATACCTCGTTATGCCACCCCGGAGTCCGAAGAATGTTTCACTTTGTCAGATCGAAAAATCTCCCATATTCGTTGAACGAAGTTAGGGCCGTTGGCGCACAGTGCAGGGTATGTGCGCAAATAAAACCTCGGTTTCATCGTCATATACAGGGAAAACTAATAAAGGCTACCCGGCCGTTTGAACGCCTGAACATCGACTTTAAAGGACCTTTACCTTCGGTTACTCGTAACAAATATCTGCTAACGATCATAGATGAGTATTCGCGATTCCCATTTGCTTTCGCTTGTCCGGATATGAAAGCATCGACACTCATCAGTTGTTTATGTCAACTGTTTTCAATATTCGGTATGCCAGCCTATATTCACTCGGACCGAGGCCCTTCATTCATATCCGTCGAACTCAAAGAATTTCTGCATAGCAGGCATATAGCTACCAGCAGAACCACTCCCTATAACCCCCAGGGCAACGGACAAGTGGAACGGCTAAACGGAACGCTTTGGAAAGCTATCACACTCGGTCTAACATCTCGTAATCTCGACGTTGGACATTGGGAACATATGCTCATCGATGCTCTGCATGCCATTCGGTCGTTACTCTGTACGGCTACTAATTCAACGCCACATGAGAGAATGTTTGTTCACGAGCGTCGATCATCGTACGGACCATCTCTGCCTAGCTGGCTAACATCACCAGGTCCTGTCCTTGTGAAGTCGTTTGACCGCACATCAAAATATGACCCAATTGTGGAAGAAGCGACGTTACTAGAATGCAATCCTGAGTATGCCCATATTCGGCTCAAAGACGGTAGGGACCAAACAGTTTTCATCCGTCAACTCGCACCCGCAGGTGGCGATAGGGGATCAGAAAATGTTCAGCTCGAGTCTCAAATGTTATCGGATGATAACAACAGTGAAGGAAATGCTGGAATATTACCAGAGATTCGAAACAGACCGAAAACGAGCATATCAGAAAATACTCAGAATCTTCTGATGCAACAGCAACGCACTCATCCCTACAATTTACGTAGGCGCGAAGTCTAGATCAGGTGTTACAAACTTTCTTGCGTCCACGACGAAACGTTATTTCAGTGTTCCGTTCAGACCCTCAAAATACTAAAAATTACTTTAACCATTTTCAATTGTTCATCCGCAATACGTTCATTTTCTGTTACCAACAACACATTTCTGTTAGGTTCAACTGACATTTTGCCTGCCGGAGTGAATGTAGTGAAAGTTACGCTTTACTGCTATTTCCATTAATTCACTTTCACTTGTCATTTCAGCCTATACTGTGCTTATATGTTGAATAAAGCCTATCCTTAGGCGAAGTCTCATTCTACTCAACGGATCAATAATCAATTAACTAAGTCATCGACTCCCACTACATTGGGCATAAACAGAGACCTTATCTTTGAGACTGAAGGAATATAGG